CATACGGCTTCGTTTACCATCTTGGAAGCTTCTTTTCCCCCTCTGAGGGGAGAGAGCGGTTGTCTGTGTAAGGAGGAACACTAATTGGAAGGGCCAAACCGTAGGAACGAACCACGACCAGTACCTACCAAAGAAGAAGCATTGCTTGCAGGGACAGCGTCTCGCTTCTCCGACACGTTGCTCTGGCGGCGCTTCACATTTTGCTCTTGTAAACGGAAAAACGTTAGCTGACGAGACAATCACGTGCCTGACTTTCTGTGGCTTGTCTGCTAAAAAGGTTCTAGTTCCCGAAAGCTTGAAGCTCGCTGATTTAAAGATAGTCTTGAAAGCACACCCGGATTTAGTGACATCAGAGACGACACCATTCTGCAGGTAAGTCGCCGACAGGCTTGAGCGCATTATGCTTGAAGATATTACACCGTTTGTTTCCCACCTTAATTGCGTTTGTTTGTTTTCGCGCCTGGTTCCAACTTTCTAGCGCGGTCAGCCTAATCCTCACTTCTACTGCCACTTTCGTGCTTAAATGTGGCTGATCGTAGACAAAGAACAGCTTTGACAAACTTCAGTCAACACGGATTAATACAGCGCACCCTGCATATTTCGCGAGATATCAATATGTAAAATATAATGCAGAAACGCGTCGAAGTGAAGGCCAATCTTTTCAGGTTAGATTTTAGGGACAGCTTCAAAGCGAATACGAAAAAATAAAGAAATAGACTAGCGCGGATAATATTTGTGACAAAATAAGCCCTATTCAGTTCACTTATGCACATCGTATAAGAGACATCCTGAAATTCCATGGCACATTAAGGCGACGCCCACACTGTAGTTTACAATAGGACACATTAGTTGCGTCTTTTAGGTATCCCCACAGGTGCTCCAATATTTCTAGTTTACTGTCGAAGTTGTAAATAATCGAATTCATTTTCAAACATGCAGCCTTTCTTTGACCTTTCGGCAAACGCGATGTACCGTTGCGCACAGACTCCGGGTACATCTCAAGCTTTTATTTTACAATATTCAATTCCCTTCTCATTTCAGATTAAGGACAAAGACTTCGACGAGTATGTGGGCATTGAGGACAACAGGATTCTGGATGATAAATCCAAGATCATTTATCCTCAATGTATGGTGACTCAAGCGGGGAATTTCAATGACAAGTAAGTTTGTTGTTGTTTCATGTAGAATATTTGGTTTCTTGGCTAGTTCACTCAAGATACTAATTTATGTGCTGCAGCTGCCTGGTATAAGTGTTGACGGAATTTAGCACTGCTGATATACATTGAGAACACCTAAGTGTACTTAAAACTTATATTAATGTTTTTTAATCAAATATTACAGTTATAGGTAGGAATTTCATTTTTTCTTTAATATTGCGCGTAATTAAGTGTTTTATTTTAGTTTATATTCTGTAATCCCTCAGCATTTCCTCCATATAAGTGTAAAACTAAGCAGCACTACCTTTAGAAAGATCGAGGTGTTTTTATTATTTTTAATGCACATCCCGAGATTTAAAACGGAAATTTGATCAAAAAACGGTTTTGACTGGTTGTCTCAACTTGATACGAAAGCAATTCTGAAGTTACTAGACCCTCAACTCTTATCGCCAAAACATTTCGCGTCGGAGATCTTTGCTGTGAGAACAGCAATATAACCCGATTATAATAATATTAATGGTGCAAAGTTTAGATATAAATATTTTCCTTCCCATGCCGCATTTTAGCCACAAAAATTTGTTTAAATTTATGTTCAGAAATGTTTGCCTAGGCGACGAGCTGTTTATAACGTTTGCCTGCAAATTACAGCAAAACCGACTGCAAAGAAATTTAGTGCTCCGGTTTTCCCGGACTGCTAATCCTGAAGAGTAAAATATGTAAACCGTTCAATAGAAGCATGGCTGAGTCTAATATATTTTCATTTTTGATCTCTCATCTGCTCTAAAATTTACCAATTTGGCGGCAACAAATGAGAATGGGACACTGCATCACGCGTTGCCCTCAGTTTATTTGGAAACTCAACATGTTTAAACAAAAAGGAAAATCTCTGTTTTATTCTAGGACCTGCACTGCTGTCGTGGAGCCAGTAGCACCGTCGTCAGGTGTCCTGACGGCGGTGACCACAGCAATTACACCGATAATTTCCCCAGTGGCAACGCAGGGCTCTGCTCTGCTCCAGTAGGGACCCGAAGGCGTACAGGCTACCGGAGGTGCCTGTTGACATTCGAGCTAGGCTGGTTACCCTGACCAAGGGCAACATTCTTGATCCACTTCGGCATCGTATCATCGAGTGGCTGCACTACGACCTGTGCACATATACAATGTAAGTGGCAATATGTTACAATTTTCTTATTCAATGCTATATTTAAAACTTGCAAAAAAAAAAATCTCTCCCAAGGTAACCTGCAGTTCATCGTCGCATTCTATTGTTCAACATCAAAGCAAAGCAAAGCTATTTTGTACAGAGTGTTTATACATAGTGAAGTCTGTACGTTATAGCGACAGTGGTTCACGCAGTAGACGAGAAATTGAGTCAGTGCAGCACAACTGCTAGCCTAGGCTTCTTAGAAGTAGCGCGGTGTAGAGATCACTAATTATACAAACGTGTGACGGTGCATTCCTCATCCGGATGAAAAAGGCCAGGGGGCTGGGGCTGAACCCAGTATTCCGAGCCGCGAGCTTACGCTCCACGTGCCCTGAGCCGCGACGCGCTACCATCCGCCTGTTTGTCGCAAATCAATTTACACCGGGACAGCTAATAAAAATAATGTAAGCGGTGCAAGCGCGAGGTGCCAGTTATAAAAGGTGATTTGACGCATGTGTTCGCGCAGCTTCTGTGTATGTCTTTTCTCACTACCAAATGCCATTGATTCAAAGCGTTAAAACACCTTCGCCAGAATTTCAAGAAAATACAAAACGCTCGCGAAAACTGTCCAAAATATATTCGAGAGAAAATTTTACAGCCTTTCTATCAATTATTTGGCAAGGTACCCCGGCATCTTGCACAATATGCCGGAATATCGTTAACGTCAGCTCCATAAAAAAAAAAAAAGTAATCAAGTTTTGGTCGAAGTCAAAGCTTAGGCACGAGCCCAGTGCTCTGTGCGTTCCCGACTCGCAGCGTGGCTCGCGCAGTGTGGGAACCATCGACTTCGGTCGCACGGAAGCTGAAATGAAGTATAGAGGCACATTCAGCTGCTAGCGCGCTGGATGAACCACTTGCGGAAGTTTTATCACTTCGACCGATGCCCGCTGCAGGATAAAGAAGCCTTGAAGTGAAAGTGAACTTACGGCTAAAAGTCTATTTGTATTTTCATGTATGTTGTTTTCTTACAATTTTGAAAATTGCTTGTGCTTCGTACCTTTATTTAGATTTTTATGTACTCTTACAATTTCAAGAGTTAGCGGGAATTTTTATCTCCCCAATGTTCCTGAGAACTCTAATCCAAAGTCGTCTATTAATTCCATTAAAAGAGAGGTCACACATAGTTCCTTTCATGTATACATTTCGACGTGTGAAACATTCATTTTACGTTAATTTTTTAATACGGATGTACTAAGGGCTGCAGTAAGAGGAAAGTTTCCAAACTGGCGACTGAATCTTAAGTCACACATACAAACCACCGTCTTATTACGTCTCATGGCATTTCTGGCATCACCTTAGATCGTGACCTAAACGCTACGTTTAGAAATATGGCTCCATTATATTAATAACAATGTTTAGCGCTCTCTCAACTAGATATTTTTACCTTTCAGGATCCCACAAAGACGTCAGTCTCAGACTACCCGGCCGTGACTTACAGCGGGCATCATCCCACAGCTTCTGACGCTGCATGAATGACGTTTGAGAGCCTCACGCTTCCAGCTCTGGATATCCCGGAGGCTATCGAGCTGGCCTTTTGCGCGTATTGTGCGTTTAATGTGGAGTATGGCCCGCACGTGAAAAACACGTTTCTGCTTTTAGAAAACCTGTGTGACATGAAGCAATCTCTGCCATCCGTGGCTGTGATGAAGGCGGCAACAGCTATTCGTTGTTAGCCGCATGCTGTTGGAGTGAAATTGTAAAAATGTTTTGTCTATGAAATAAAACTGTGATATTGCACCTCATGTAATTCCATGAAAAGCTCCCCCACCACTATCCACCATATTCCTGCGTAATGTATTTGGAGGGGCACGTGGTTTTAAATGAAATCACGTCATTCCACTACGGTTCTTTATGGCATGAAAATTATTCCATTGAAAACAGAATCCAGAGAGTCCATTGCGGGAGTCAGGTGAGTCTAGGAAAAAAGGATTCAAGTAATTCCCTTCGGGGGAATCGTGGGAAACCAGGAACGGAATCTAGCAATTCCGGATAGAGAGTCACGTGATTCCAGAAGAAAAAGAATCCAGTGATTCCCGTAGGGGGTAGCCTGATTCCTTTGGATATTGGAGTCTCGTGATTCTAGTGAAAGGGTCGCCTGACTCCTGCAATACTGGAGTGCCCTGATTCTACTGAGAGAATCCACTGACTCCTTGTGAGAGGGGATCAGTTGACTCCAGAGAGGGAAGGCGTCACGTGACACCACCAGCTGAGAGAGTCAGCAGTCTCTAGTGGAGAGGGCGTCTGATGACTCCACCGGGCGCTAGAGTCATTTGAGTCTTTGAAAGGAGCCACCACAGGGACAGATTTTGACTCCCCCAAAGGGAGTCAGCGTTGATTCCCCTTTTTTTTAGAGTGTAGATGAAACAAAACGGCACCGCGCAGGTAAAGCTACTAGCCGACATGTGATCCAAGCAAACAATAAATAAAAAGACGCGAACCAAAATGGCTAGATGTCACCACCCTAAGCAAAGCGCACATGTACGGTAGGCACCCGGTGAGACGCTAGTGCAGCTGGTATGAGCGTTTCCATTGATGCCACTTTGTCCGCCGTTCTATAGTGACAGCGGAATAGAAGCATTTCGAGGCTGCCTTGTATCACAACATAGCCTCTATAGTCGCAACCATTAAAACACACTTACAGCTCAAAGGGCTCGATGCCTACCAATGGTACATCTGGAGAGGAGTCATCTGGAGAAGTTTCATCTGGCAAGCTCTCTCTTTGGGCGGTTTCACAGTTTTCAGTGCGCACCGTCTCCAATGAAGCCTCCTCCTAAAACGAAAGGAAATCCCTGCAGTGTAAAGTTACTGGATTTGTGTTAAGGACCCCAGCAGGCTGTTTTAATGATATAACGGTTTGTACTTTACATGCTATAAGTAAGGTTTGGTGTATTTATTACTAATAAATGCCGCTAGATGCTCGCCGTTTCAGGAATTCAGTATAAATCGTAATGTACAAAATTTTCATATGCACACATGAAAGAATAAAAAACGCAGTGGACAAGAACAAACCAAGATATCTTTCCAGAGGTCCTATTTCGGCCCTGTCCACCTTCCGTTTCTTATCCTTTCGTGTGTGGATATGAACCTTCACCAATACGCTCGTCTTCAATAATACAGAAATTCGGCACCGTATTCTTGGTTCGTGGCTCATAATCTGAGCCCGAATTTGAAGCTTAAGCTCTTCGGTAGATGCAAACATGCACAGCATGCAATTTCACATAGTGTCAAACAGAGATGCTGTTCAATGCTAAGAATAATATGCGGAGTACAGTGCAACACCGTCCAGTAGAGCATGCAAGCCATATCACTTTGAAAAAGACATGGCCCTGACTGGCCCCCTCCTTCTAATGCAACACTCAAACTGCTCTGGTATCCAGTACTAACACGAAACAAAGTTTATCTAACGAGGACCTCGATACATACATTAGCAAGCGATATAAGCAGGAAAGCATGAGTGACGACCAGGCTGTGGCCAGTCACTTGCTGCGGCTATGTGGTCTGCGCAGCCCGGTCACCGCTTGCATATTCCAGCTCACACCACCAGCAACTGTACTTGCATATACAATACGAGCACATAGCCCCAAATCCTCAGTTTTGCTGGGACCTCCTCTCCCTGCCCGCTCCTCCTCCCCCATCTATGCCATTTTGACATGGGCGGTCCCCCCCCTCGACAAAACCCTATGTGCCCGATACAATACTCTATATATAGGGTGGTCCAAGTCACCAGGATCGATCTAAAATGGACCATAAAAACAGGCGCCTGCACGTAGCAATCTAAACCTTTCGTCAAAGATCTATTTCACGGGTCAATTTTTTTTTGTAAAATTACAAAAAATAGGACCAAGAAAATTGCCAGGGTTAACGGCAGGCAACGACCCAGACGACCAAGCCCAGTAGCAGGGCGTGTTTGGCGATCGTATTCATAGATGGCATCGGGAGCAGCGTCCGACGGTGCAGCCGACCAGCTAAAGCTAGCAGACGACACGTTGGCAGCAAAAGCGCTGTCGTTATGCAGACACATTTTTTTTTACTTTAAGTTCTGCTTTTATTGCCCGCATTTATTTTTTAACCGAAGGTACATTTGAAAAAGATTATCTTCATTTTATAAAACCTTGGTCGCAAGCCGTCGCAGTAAGGAGGTAGCCCATCAATCTATACGAATGCCAAACACACCTTGCTACTAGACCCCTGTCGTCTGCGTCACTGTCCGCCGTAGACCCTGGCAAGTTTCTTGGCCTTATTTTTTACAGAAAGAGAGCTACGCTTTCTAATTTTACAAAAGGAAAGCGACATGTGAAATACACCTCTGACAAAAAGTCTAGATTGCTACGTGCAGGTGTCGATTTCTATGATCCATTTTATATCGATCCTGGTGACTTGGACCACCCTATACTTTGGTCTACGTGCTTGAGTGCAGGCGAACAATCACACTGAACTTCTCATCAGTTCCCTTATCTCTCAAGGTGCTTCTTTACAAAACGCTCGTGCGCTCTAAGCTGGAATATGCCTCTTGAATTGGGAACCCTGGCATTAACGTGTTGATATTGGCTTTTGAAGCAATTCAGAACAGATCTGTTTGTTTCATCCTTGCTAATTATCACTGCACTGCCAGTGTAACATCAATGAAAATAAGTTTGAACCTACCTAACCTTGCATTACGTGGAAATCTTAACAGTGTGTCTGTTCCACAAAATTTATTACTATAATCCTCTGCTATGTGACAAGTTACTGACACCTCTTTACATATCATAATTTCTTGACCATCCACAGATGGGCATTCCTCAATGTAACACTACAACTTTTTATAATTTATTTATACCTCAGACGACGGTCTTATGGAATCACCTTCCAGCATCTGTGGCATCCATATCCGATTCCATCGCTTCTAAACGATGCCTTAACAGTGTTAACTTTTAGCATTTCATTATTATGTATTTTTTTCATTCTTAAGATTGTCGTTTGTTTGCTTTTGATTGTTGTTTGTTTGCTTTTGATGTCTCCTTGTAACACACTCCCCTCTGCAATGTCCTCAGGCCCTGAGTAGGGTGACCATATTCCTCAAGGTAGAAAACGGGACATCCCAGCGGTAAAGGGGGGGGGGGGGGGGGGGGGGGGGGTACTAAAGTTTGAGAAAAAATGTAATTAAATTCTACATGCGTGCTATTCCTACATGATTCTACATCCGTGCTATATCCAGTAACTAAAAAAAAAATATTTCTACCGTCCTCGCGAAAGAAAAAGTGTTTGTGGGCAAGAACAGTCCTAAATTTTACTCTCTGGGTAAATATTGTAAAGTACCTACGGTTAGTTTTGTAAAATATACTTGCAACGAATAGGCATAGTTGCAGTTTGCTTCTACTCGCTTGGTGCCAATTTTGAAACTATGTACTTCTGCGAAAACGGGACATGATTCTATATTGGGATAAAAAGACGGGACGGCAGAAATGGACCTGAAAAACGGGACTGTCCCGGCCAAAACGGGACGTCTGGTCACCCTAGCCCTGAGGGTCTGAAGATGAAGATGCTCAGGAGCATCTTCAACTTCCTTCATCAGTAAACAGAAGTCCGCCATTAGTGTAGCACATATGGCGTTTTCAGATGATGATGATAGTGATCAAAGTGGCCAGACTGAATTCCGGAAAGGGTCTATTGTAGTTTTAAAGGTGGCCATTAATAAAAGCCAACCCAATTGACACGGTTCCCGAAAAAGCAACAGGCTTTGAGATATTCATCTGTTAATTTTTCCTTTTTTTGCTTAACTCAAAACCACACGCTGAAAGGTGCACCTGATTATGATGCAAAAAAAAAAAGTGACGCCCGTGTTTCATGCCCTTCGCCACTATCTCGACAGACAGCGTGTCTGCTGGAGGCGCCGGCGTCACACTTGCTGGATAGTGACGGACGTACAGAAGTGACAGGACGCTTTTCTACCAATCATAATCAGGCACCAAGCTCCACAAACATACAGTGAAGGCGGCATTAACATAGCTATCACCATTAAAAAAATTTTAAAGAATAAAAAATTAAAAAAACGCTCGTATAGACACAGCCTATCACAGTTGTGATTATATTCCTAGTAATAAACCGTTTCTTTTTTTTTTTTTTTTCATTAATGCTTGATATACCTTGAACTTGTTGCAAAACCAAATACCTGAGTGGAAGATGAGCCTGGCCCACCCTCTGGGACAGTTACAATGGGCAGGAGAGTGATTTTAGCCATGTCATGTATTTCGTCGTCCGCAGCAAGGTCAGTGTATTCTTCAAATACCAAATCCAGCATCTGTAAAATGTATGCGCATGGACTAGCTTCACATATATCTAACCCAAAAATGTTTTTATATAGTTAGTAAATCAGCTCCAGAGGCACTTAGCTTCTTTTCAGTTCTCATATGTGCTGGCTCAAATCAGTCCTATTCAATGAAGAGTAAAGGCTATAGGCACGAGCTCGTGCACGTTGACCGGAAATGGCCATACGCACGACGTGGAGAGCTTACTGTAAATATTGTCAAATGCCCTACCAAAAAAAAGTAAAAAAAAAAGAGGTGTCTAGCGTTACGTCCAACGCTGTGGCTAGCGTTACGTCCAGACAGAGCACTGAAATGGATATGCCTAACCTTCTCCCCCACCCTCCTCTCTCGCCCCTGTGAACCTAGGGAAGGCGGCGATTTGGACGTACGGTGTGGCTAGCGTTCCAGACGGAACGATAGCTGCTACTAGAGTTCCGTCTGGAACGCGGAGCTAGAGCTCGTGCCATTTGGGTCACCCTTTTCCGACGGCGCGTGTATCATTGGGGGGCTCGTTAACACCCCCCCCCCCCTCCCCTGCATTCACGCCGCTTCGCGGCGACAGTATGCGGCTGCTAATTACAAAACTAAGAGGGAGTTTTCGTAGACCATGTTTCGTTCACCGCTAAGCCCTCTGCAACGAAGAAGCCGCTACTGCGCCTGTGCGCCCATGCCCTTGACTGTAGAGTTCCGACATCATAGCAAGCTGCGTAGGGCATTGCGGGACGGCGAAAACGGTCTATGAAAACTCCCTATTAACCCACTTAGCCCTCCGTACACGCCGCCCAGCCAGCAACCCAAACCCGCTATGCCCTATTGCACCTCCGGCCATTTAGTTCAGCGAAGTTTCGTCGACAACATGCCTTCATGTCTTTCAGAGATAATTGTAAAAGAGAAATGTAAATACCGACAAAAAAAAAATCGAGAAGAAAAAAAAAAGAAGTAAACCCACACTGCGGTTCGAACCCGGGCCCGCTGCGTGTAAGGCAGACACCTTTCCACTACACTACACCACCACTTCAGAAAGGATAAAGCCTACGGACTCCGGAGTGCACTTCAAACGGAAATGGCTATACGCACTCCGCTAGTCTCATATAAAAGGAATAGTCACAACAACTCATTCTTTTAAGCGGTGGCATAGCGTAGTGGTTAAGGTGTCAGCTTCGTACGCTAGTGGACGTGGGTTCGATCCGCGGTGGTCCCACTTTCTTTTTGTTTCGTTTTCTCAAACATTTTGTTTTGTCGAAGCATTTGGCAATATTTACTTTTTTTTTTTTTTTTTTTTCCCGGTGAACACTAAAAGATTCGTTGCCGACGAAACTTCGCAAAACTAAATGGTACGGGACTCCCTTTCCTGATGCGATCGGGGACAGCGGGGCTTGGGTTGCCGGCTGGACGCCGCGAAGCGGCGTGTACTGGTTACGTTTTGTAATTAGCAGCCTCACACTGTCGCCGCGAAGCGGGGGGAACGCAGGCGGGCTCCCCAGCGATACACGTGCCATTCGAAAAGGGTGACCCGAGCGGCATGAGCTCTCCGCAGAGTGCGTGTAGCCATTTCCGTCCGAAGCGCACTCCGGAGTGCGTATAGCTTTACTCCTTCAGAAACTAGCCTTCAACATTTGCTTTATACGAGACCCAACTTGGACGTTACTTTAGTGGCGACCATCGTTCCGCCTGGACGGAACTCTAGACACTTCTTTTTGGATTACAATGTCGCTTGCTCCCGTTGCTTTCATGCGGATTGCCTCGTCGCGCGAGTGACCGAGCGACAGCGAAGCGGGTTCACCGACGCTTGCCTCGTCACTCGCCAAATCGCTTTCATGCGGTCTATACTTTACTCTTCGCGCTAAAACGTCATTTCCTCATATAACATGTACCCTTTCCAAGATAGATTCGAAGATGACGGTGGTTTAGGCGGTTAAAATCTTATCACTTCGATATTTTTTTCTGGATTAGGTGGTTCACAGCTTCGCAGTTCGGTGTCTTCTCTATCCTTCGTTTACTTAGCTTACTGTGACCTGCTACAGTTCGAGCACGGGGAAAATGTCAACAGAAACGAGGCACTTGCCTGAAACCTGACAGAAGACAGTTTGATGGAGTTCCCAAGAACGGGGCACGTAGCCACCGCATGTTTCAAAGAGTTTACCGATCCATCCTCGAGCTTGAAAGACCTGGCAGCCTTTAGGTGAGGCACGGTGACCAGACACCGCACGGGCGGCATTGTCGAACGCTGCTAAAGCCACGCGAGCAGCTAGGCGCGAAAATACTGACATTCGTTTGGCTCGTCAACTCGGTAAACTCGCCAACCGTCATTCGTCACCACCGCAAGTAACGCGCCAAACAGAACAAAGGAACGATAAGTGGGTGAAGGCTGTGGGTGGATAGATGGCTGAACCGATGGTTAATGGTGTATATGTGGCAGCTTGCGCCACCTAGTGTAGCTTAAGCACACAATATATTCCGGAAAATACTTGAGGAACAAACCGCGCCAAAACTAAGAATTTAAACAAAAACACTTTACTATTCGTAAAGACAGGGGACGGGAGAACACCATCTTTCAATTTTCAACAAACAAATGATTTATTGCCGGACGCTTCTCCTTCGGAGTTCCACTACAGGAGAGGGAAAGTTAAAAGGAGGGGGAAGGGGAAGGGGGCGGACAAGACAAGGCCCCGGGAGAAAACTCGGGGAAAGTAAAGCGCAGAGACAGCGGGAAGGAGGGGGAGGAAGGAGGCATCCCGATTTCCCTCTCAGGAGTAGGGACCACTCGCCCGGCCCGCCAAGGACGGCACCTCCGGTCTAAGGAATGTCACCTCTCTCTCCGACAGCGACAGCGAGGCCGAGGAAATGTTCTTCGGCGCCTCTTTTATGGGGTACGCCTCCACGATCTCGCGCCCGTAGCGGTTCTTGTTGGCCCCCAGAACACGCGCGGACGGGAACTCGGGGGCACATGGAGCGCAAACCTTGAGGTGATGGATCATGGGGTGTTGGGAGTCCCCCTCGTTTTTTTCTATTTCTCTCTCATGTTCGCGCAGGCGGTCGTTGAGGCAGCGGCCCGTCTGTACGATGTACTCTGCCCCGCACGAGAAGGGCACGGAATACACCCGTCCGACCGCGCAGGGAACGAAAGGGGCCGCGTGCCTCTTGGCGCGGCCTCAACTGCCACCTGCGCGAACATAGGAGAGAAATAGAAAAAAAAACGACGAGGACTCCCAACCAGGGGCGGATGCAGGAATTTCCTGAGGGGGGGGTCAGGTGTTGGTCAGCGCACCACATGTTTAGGACCCCCCCCCCCTCTCCCTCGTTTCACGCCCTAAATTTTACACATGCAGAATTCAAGAGGGGGGTCAGGACATCCGGACCCCCCCTCTAAATCCGCCCCTGCTCCCAACACCCCATGGTCCATCACCTCAAGGTTTGCGCTCCATGTGCCCCCGAGTTCCCGTCCGCGCGTGTTTTGGGGGCCATCAAGAACCGCTACGGGCGCGAGATCGTGGAGGCGTACGCCATAAAAGAGGCGCCGAAGAACATTTCCATTGACTTAAAACGAAAGAAACACACAAGAGGACGAAACAGACGACACAGCTTTCGACTTGCAGCTACAGATTTACTGGGGCGGCTAGCCGCTCAGAGCTCGACTTGGGGAGGCGATGGGGAAAGAGGGGAGGGCGATGAGGGGAGGTGTAAGAACACAGGGAGACCGTTGCGGGGGCGAACACAGCGGGCTGTCGAGGGAGGTGACATTCCTTAGACCGGAGTTGACGTCCTTGACGGGCCGGGCGAGTGGTCCCTGCTCCTGAGAGGGAAATTGGGATGCCTCCTTCCTTCCTCTCCTTCCCGCTGTCTCTGCGCTTTACTTTCCCGCAGTTTCCTCCCGGGGCCTTGTCTTGCCCCCTCTTTCCCTTCTCCCTCCTTTTAACTTTCCCTCTCCTGTAGTGGAGCTCCGAAGGAGAAGCGTCCGGCAATAAATCATTTGTTTGTTGAAAGTTGAAAGATATGTTGTCCCGTCCCCTGTCTTTACGTATATAACTCTTTCTGAAACCTATATCATTACCAACGCGCTCACTAACAAGTTTACTACTCGACAGCTCTCAAAATTGAGGATACGTAAACGGCGTAAACAGGCAACGTCCAGAAAGTAATGGCGGCACCTTGCACCGCATAGAGCGCCGAGCTCATGGTCGAGCTGCTTTGCCGGCTTTGCCACACTCCGCCATTGATCTCTATATTGCTCTCCGCCACCCCGCCAAAGTTGAGTGGAGTGTCGGAGACCTCTTTTCAACAGAATGAAAAAACATTTCAAGGGCACAGCAATGCACAATTTTGAAGGGCTGTTCTCATGTTAGCCATCAAACGCATGTGAAATTATTAGGAACGAAACTATACATATGCATCTACGTATCCTTCGATTCATCTAGAGCACTATATAGCTCCTTCGGAGCAGAGTAGCGCAATCTAGAACGCCGTCTCTCGGCGACTAGCGGCGAACGCCCGGAGGTTCCAACTGCGGTCAGAAATGCATGGAGAACGTGAGAAAATCGTTGTTTCTTCAGTTTTGTGGGGATGTGCGGAATGGAAATCATTTTTTACGTAATAATGAAACATTTTAGAATAATATGCGATAAGTTTTGTGCCATACAAGGACGTAACTTTTTTTAAAAAATTGCCTGAGCGGCATCATGCAGCAGACGACACGGCGACGTCACACCATTCACGTGACCCGCTCCGGCCAACCCGAAAAGCCCATCTCCGCTGCGAGCAAAAATCGTCTGCTTCAAACGCCATTGCCTTGGAAATTGCCTTCTCAAAATTTGCACACGCATCCGATATTATTAAAACTTTGATAAAGTGTTTAGCGCTTTACTAACTTCACGACAGGTTAGTTTTGAAAAATGTGAACTCGCCGTTAGTTTTTTAATCAGCCGTGTTATGTCGATCTCCATGTATTCTCCCATAGGGCGGGCCGCCTCCTGGAACCCTGAGTACCACGTGACTCGCGCCGAGCCGCTCTGTCGGCCATGTTGTCGGAAAAACACGGGGTTCAAAGGATTGCGCTACTCTGCTCCGTAGGAGCTATATAGTGCTCTAGATTCATCTACCCAAAGCCGTATGCAGCCAACGCCACTGATCTCAATGGCCAACGCAGGCGCGTACGCGCGTACTTTCGGAACGGATACGTCTTTGGCTTTGCTTGGTTTCGTCCACAATTGTCATAGAGATCAGTGTCGTCCACGTACTATGAGAAGCGGCAACTCTTCAGATAGCGGCCATTTTACACCTCCGGCCCCCTCCAAAAAGAAAAAAAGTATATACAAGCTCGTTGAATACAGCATGGGAATGTACCTACATCGTTGGAAAGTACTAGGGGTAATCATTTTGCTTTCTGGAAAAAAAATGTGTTTTACACCTGGCCGCTGGAAATTGGAATTAAAAAAAAAATGCTGCAAGCAAAAAACGCAACTAATTTCTACGTGTGTTTCTTAGTATATTATTTATGATGTTATGTTATGTATTAAGACCAATGAGAAATACACAAAGGTCTTTTTTTTACTTTCTTTTTAGTATCTACTGGTTGTTTGGTGATCTACTGATATGTATGGGGCCCATCTACTGACTTCGATTTTTTTTTCCATCTGGTAACGCTGGTCCAGCATTTGCTGGCACTGCTCGCAGCGCGTGGAGGGCTGTCACGGCTTCACTTTACGTTGGCTGCGCTCATGTGGAGTGGCCGCGTGGGCACTTGCTTCGGTTCCCCGTCCTGACCACGTTGTCCCCACTCACGTGGTGTGGCCGTGTGGACACTTGCTTCGGTTTCCCGTCCTGACTAACGAAACAGCCACTGCAGAGCATCACATCCGAGCGACGTCGTACGCATCCAAAGGTATATATGACCCAGGACGCGTTGATTTCGGTCTCTGCCTGCTCCTGTCAATTTGACGCACGCTGCGTTCCGCGTTATCTTCCACCCGCCACAAAATCTCGCCGTGGAAGAAGCGCCGGGGAGAGAGAAAGTCAGCTTTTTCCTCAGAGCAGAGCCACCGAAAATTGGCAGCCTTGGCGGAGCGGGCGAATGAACATGCTGGTGGGAAAGAAATCGGGATGCCGCCTTTCCTTCCGTTCTTTCCCGCTATTTCGGCAAGTTTCGTTTTCGCACCGTTCCCTTCACGCGGCTTTCTCTGGAGCCACTCTCTATAGCACTGATGTGATTGCTGCCCCAAACTGCGCCAAGGGGCTAACCCCGCTACGTCCTGCTACGGTAGCCTGCGCCAAAGGACGAATATTGGTCGCCTTTGAAAACCGAAACTAAACCGGGTACCGTAATTGAGCACACATGAGCTAGGTGGTTCAAGCAGCCGTCCGACACAGTACCCTGCATCAATCGTTCATCTGGTCTTGCATGGTTTTTCCTGCCGTCTCTAGTCTCGCGTCTTTTAAAAAAAATTTAATCATAGACATGGGCATGTGCGGACGCTACGACGCTAGCGTGCTGGTTACCAGCCATGCCGTCATGCTGTGAAACGAAACCATGTTTTTGCGCGGCGGGAGTGATTTTATGGGCTGAAGCACTCGCTCCTAAAAGCAACGGCCGTGGCCAACCATATTTGGTCCCTGCCTTCCAGTCACTGTGGTCGCACGACATCGGGTGTTGCCGTCCCCACGTCACTGCAGTAATGGCACTTTCTGAACTGAAACGTAAGGACAATCCTGTTCTTGTTTAATGCGCTACTACAAACATACCTTAAGCTCAAAGACTGCAGTGTCGAAGTATTGATTACCTAGGTTAATCTCGGTAGGCTTTCTTTCGAGACGTACCCGGGTACGTGAAAAATGAGCCGCGAAAGGAAGTTGGTGAAGAGAAGTGAGCTAAAGCAAAGAACGCAATGTCCGCATGCTGAACCCGCACAGCGTGCTTATTTGTCTCGAGTTCAGTCGTTGCACAAACCGATCCAAGAACTTTTTGATCCTGGCTCGCGATGTCTTGCATCGATGCGCTCAGGTTTTTTTTTTTTTTTTTCCTCTTTCTTTTTTTTTTTTCTTTCTTTCTGTGTTTAGCTTGTACCTCGTTTGCCGCCTTGGCAAGAACGTGCCGCTGGACTTTTTTTTTTTTTTTCTCGTATGTTGGACAGTTACATTTTGCATACAATTTTGGGAATTAGTTGAGGCGGAGCGGAGTGGCATGGTTTCGATCGAACAGCCATCTCCGCTCGCGCGACAATTTTGCATTACAAGGCAGTATTTACGTGCTTCATCAGTCGGAGATTGCTTCCATTTATTGTATTACTAATAAACCTAATAATGTGATATCTACTACTAAGCTGGTCATTTTCAAATAAATTTAAACATGTGGTCCGATATATTGGTATCACGTCCGGGTCACCAAATGTAGAAAAAGACAGACGAAAAGCGGCTACGTCTGACAAATTCCAAAATCGAGCTGATGTGGCACTTTTATTCCACGCGATCTTCTTTTTTCAATGGCTATCGCCACAAACTGAAGCATTACAAAATGTGTCATGTCATTGGCATTTCAGTTACATGTTGAAAGACTCCCAGGTGGTCT